AGTATTTTTATGACAAAGAATAAGAGAAGAGCACCTATCTTAAGAGTAAGTGTGGGTGTAAGAATGCGGGTGTGGACAGTATTTTTATGGCAAAGAATGAGGAAAGAGCACCCATCTTAAGGGTAAGTGTGGGTGTGGTTGTGGGTGTGAGTCTGGTCGTGGGTGTGGGAGTGGATGAAGGTATGGATGTCGGTATCGATGTTTATCATCTCATAACCCACCCACATTCTCATCCACACCTACATCTATGTCCATACTCAGCATTCGTTTTCCAGTCTTGGATAAAAGGTTTAATTCATTTACAGGAAGCGTCGCAGAAGTACAATTTACACATTTCAAGATAATTAAAATAAAATGAAAAGACAAAAGTTGAACACTATGTTCTTTCAACATGTGTTACTTTAATTTATTGATTTAGGTAAACTGATCTTTTAAATTAGTGTTTACTGTATTTTGACAAGAAATGTAGTTACAATCTTGAAATAGTAATTTAGATATCCAGTTTCGCGTTACATTAAAAATACTCAATTAATAATAATGTGCGCGTATTATATAATAACTAATATTTATATTTAGTTACTAGGAATATTAGTATAATGTCTGTAATAAAACAATTATCATGTACAGTACAAGATGATACATGTTATACAAATTTTCTTAATGTTCTGAATGAAATCAATGATGAAACTATACGTAATCGATGTCGTAAATATTGGACAACACTTTATCAATATTTTGATCGTTCAAAGACTAATGAACATGTTCTCATAGTTGAAGAGAAACGTATACGCGAACTTTTACATCGATCTAAAACTCATAATATACTTCAACGAGGTCATGAAATATTATCAGATCTTCATTCAAAATATAATACAAGTAAACAAAATGTTGATGATTTACAAACTGAAATTCAAAAAACACGTATGTTTAATATGTGTAAAACATTCTAACTAAATTTTATTACAATTCTATCTTGTATATCAGTGTTGTAGGAGAAAGTCTTCGACTAAAACTCAATATTAATATAACTGAAAAAGAATTAAGTGAAATTCAACATGAATTAAAAAAAGAACAAAAACTCTCATTAGAATTAAAAATTCAGAATAAACAATTAAACAATCTTCTTTTTCAGAATAAAAAAAATTTACAAATGAATGAAAATGATAAAAATATACTCGAATTAATTCATATAAAACAAGAAGAAATTGAAAAAGAAAAAGCAATCAAACAAGATATTTCTCAAATGTTACGAAAACTTCAAGTTGAATTGAAGAGAAAGAAAAATATTCTATTTATACATAATCAACAAAAAGAAAAATTAAAAGTAAGAAAATAAATTTAATCCTTTTAAAATATTTTTTTTTCTAGAGTCAACTTATTCATATTGAATATCAACATAATCAATATAATCAACAATCTACAATAAATATATCCGATATTATAACTCAATCAACAAATAATCTTAAAAAGGAACTTCAATATCGTTTACAATTAAGTATTCTTCATAATAATGCCAAACAGGAACATGATATACTTGACAATACAACAAAACAATATGCAGTACTTGTTAAAGAACAACGTAAAAAAATAATTAATTATGAAAAATTTCATGATAAATGGATCATTGAAATAAATCAAAAACGAAAACGTTTATTCGAATTGATAGATAGACTTGAAAAAATTGATAAATATATAATAAATACAAATAAATTTTTTCAAGAATTTAATTCATTAAAATTAT